ACACTGATGTAATGTGATGTTATTTCGACCAAACAATCGGAAAGTTCACTTTCGGGAGTACATGAAATTCTGAAGCCTAAGCAAAGTACAGTAATGCAATAGAGCATACTTATTATTCTATATAAAATATCAGGTTTTCAATCCCGTTTCGTCATTCGAAGTAGCGAAAGGTTTTCTTGTTGCCAGAAGAACACTGAAATAAATTGGCTTAAACCTGGATTAACTGCCATAAGTACGAACTCAACGGTTTCTCATCTTATGTCAGCGGCTGTAATCAACCAAACGGACCAACTCAGAATATTCTAAACAGATATCTAAAATTTCCAGGACCTAACGTCAAAACGGTTAGGCACTTTGATTAATCCGGGTTACTGAGAGTCGCATAGGAAAAAGGGGAAGGCACTGGTGGTTCTGGCTATACTCACATGGACGCAGACTCTCGTTTTTCGTTCTCTCAGGAACTTGCAACGACTGCTAGAGCCACAACAGAACAGGTGATATTAATCGCGACATTGCAGCATACCAATTATCCGCGGACAAAGCGCATGAAAAATATTCTGCTGTTCACCAATAGCAACGGTAGCCTGCCTGTTCGGCAAGTTTCATGCAACTGCTGATGCGTATGGATAAACAGACTGAACTTTCATAAGCTCAATCATCTTAAAGCGACCGACAGCGCGAAACCATAGACTGACTGAAATCATTACGAAAGATGATACGTTTAAATCATAATATCTTATTTATTCTCCGCAGCTGCCAATTATACCGCGAGACTTAGGCATAATCGTGTAGTTGATCATAACTACATCTGTAAAAATAGTTAGTAGTTTCTGAAGTAAAAATGTTGCTTTCAAAATAATAGATTTTACGAATGTTTCTGATGGTGATGGATAAGATAAAATACCACTTATAAGATTCCCAAGCATCGCACTATCTACCACAAAAATATACCGATTTTAGTGCTGAAAGATTTCGAAATCGCTATAAATATATCAGTGAAGCATGCACATCTCATCACCTAGCAACAGCAGCAAAGGATCTGATAAATAAGTAGTTACAGTATAGTTTAGACAGTCCAAATATTTAATTTATTCTTAAGTTTACTGATCATGATAGTTTTTGGATTTGATTGTGCAGTCAGATGGTTCAAGGCGTATAAACAAATAACGTGATAATTTTTCTAGTCCATTTTTGCTCGACCAGCCCAAGACACCATGCTGCTTTCTTATTCGCAGGTTAACGACGAACTACTCGTTTCTAAACTGGTTGTCGAAGCACAGTAGAGTGGATTTCTTGCTGAAACCGGAACTTCAAAAGTACAAAACAAACGTCCAACCTACTGCGCCACCGCTCCTTCCAAACGTACTTCATACATTTAGCATTTTACTGTAAGCCTGTAATGCACTTATTAAAACCGGTAATACACAGTCATCAACAGAATATAAGTGAACTTTATCATAACCGCAAAAAACTCATGGTAACAGCTGTTTCATAATACATACATAACAACAAGCACGGATATAAGTGAACATATAATGATAAAAAACAACACCTCATTAATTACACGACACAACGAATAGCAGACATGACGTGTATCAAACAAGCAAATTTATCAAAACAAGATTACAACGCTAGCATTGCTTGAGTTTTTTCGTGCGGTATCAAGCAAACACAGCAGCTAACCGATGAGTTAAGAAATGCTCGAAAAATCCATGACCAAAATGAAAACAAAATTCAGACCAAACGATTCATGACGTGTTTCGAAGGAATAAGCGTATAATTTGGCAGTCAATGATGACGATGATTTCTTAAACAGTTGCGATGATCAGGGAACGAATCAATCATGAGTACAAATCTTCGCGAAAAGAAACAGAACGCCGACGAAACGTCGTCGCGCCATCACCCGGTTCCGAAAGCTTGCTTCGCCGTCGAGGTGCACTGACACACATGGAATCGATACCGTAGATTTCTGTCAACTGAATACGTCGATTTTCGTCCAAGTAGTAGAAGGTCATTAGCGCCTTATGGTCTTTAGTCAACGACAGGATAGAGTTGAATGTTTCGACATCGTTGGAACTGGCTGAAAATAAGGAAAGGTATTAAACGAGAAAGATAAAGAAAAATAAAGTACCAATGGATGAGATGCACTTCCGGTGTGGTCGTTTCCGTCGCTCTTCCTGCACCATCAAACGCTGATCAGTCATGCTCGTATCAGCTATATCAGA